ATCCAAATATCTGTTGATTGGTTTGCCTGTTGTAACTTTAGCAGGCATCGCTGCACTTTGGTGGAAACAGCATGTGAAAAGTCGCTCCTTTAAGGAAGTGGGGAGTGTTACTGGTCTGTTCGTCTACCCGGTGAAATCATGCAAAGGTATCCGTATGGACAGCGTCAAATGTTTCAAAGAAGGAATGGAGTATGACAGGTGAAATTTAAGTTCTAGATTTCTTCTTTACCTCAAAAAGTTTATCTCAAAGCCTTGTACCTCTTTATATTCGTTTTCTGGAAATATCTACAAGGTGCGACTGATTTGATTCGACGCGCTGTCAAATTCAGGTAGTTCTTGGTTCTAATTATTCGGTCAACCGTGCACATTGCACGCAAAACAAAACTTCTGACCTGGGATTACTCTTATTCAAAAAAGAAAAAACAAATCATCGTATGGGTAGATTAGAACTTCCTCAGTTTGCTAGGGCTCGACTAGTTTCTTCTAAACGTTCGTGGCGGACGATAAGTACACTAGAGATCGATTGTTCGAATCGCGTGACTGTAACAACCTGCAATAAAACAACAGTAGGAGATTATGCATACAGTAATCGATACACGGTAGATAGAAGCAAATATAGGAGATGGCAATGGAAGCATCGAAAACGCGGTACATGAAAGCATTGGAAAATGAATATCTTCGAAATTCGTGTGCAACGATTAAATAAACCGATAAAATCAGAGATCAAATTACACTGAACTTTGGGACGTATAAGGTATTATTTCGTTCCATGAAAACAACTTGGTCTCTTCGATCTCAAATGCTGCCGGTGCTGCATGTTTAGAGTACAACGTTTAAGTTGTTAATTTATTTAACACGGTTCGCATTGAATTTCCTAGTTACTTAAATCAATAAAATAAAATGATTATAATACTGGCATTGTGCCAATTCAACCCCAGGTTTGTTTTGAAGTGATGTCACAACAGGGTCGGTTATTACGCAACTTTCTCCATCAGTTGATCCGTTTTCTCCGAGAAAACAAACAAGCAAACAAACAAAGACAAAAACAAACAACAACAAAGAAAAGAAAGCGGTATTTTAGAAAGCTATGTATTAGTGTCTAATATCGACCGGTATGGTCAACATCGGAACGTGACAAGCAAAGATTGCATTTGCGTGACACCTCGGCATTCT